ATGCTTAATTTCGTTTCATTCGGGCAGTTATAGAGTCCTTTGCGTACAATGAGACAAACGTATTTATATCGCTTTAAAGTAAACTTAATACACGCTATTCGGTACGCCGCACTGTTAAAAATTTAATTTCAATCAGACACCCGTTCGAAAAGCAATCACATCTCAATTTGATACGTTGTGCAAAATTTCGAGTTCATCGAACAAACATTAGGAGTTTGATGCACCATTTATGTAAAATCGGACGAATATATATGTATATGTGGGAGCTATACCGAAATCTGAACCGATTTTCACGAAATTTAACACACATCGTTCTAGACCTAATTCAGAACGCTATATTAAATTTCGAGCAAATCGGAGAATATATGGCGAGTTTGGTGCACCATTTACATACAATAGGATGAAAATATATATGGGAGATATGTATCTAAATCTGAACCCATTTTTCCCAATTTCAATAGGGTTCGTCCTTAGGCCATATAAATGAGCTGTGCCAAATTTCACACAATTTGGATCAAAAATGCGACCTGTACTTAGTTTACAATTTAACATGGACAGACGGACGGACGGACATGCATAAATCGACTTAAAAAGTGATTCTATGCATATTCTCAAAAGGAACCATTTGTCTATCTCGTTTCCTTTTGCCTGTTACAAACATATGCACAAAGGCATAATACCCCGTATGACAGTATGGTGAAGGGTATAAATACAGTTCACCGATAAAACAGCTATTAACCTATAATTATGAATAAAATGTATCACAAAAATTATTTTTGAGAAATATTATATAATTAATTCGTGATTTCTCGAATTATAAGTCGGTTTTATGCAACAATGTCAGTAGTGGCAGTTAATCACGAAGGACGGCTGCAAAAGAACGTCGGTTAGTACCAATCAAAAGAGGAGTAAAAAAAGCATTTACTAGTTCAACGAATTGGCGAGACGGTCATCGTTGGATGTAACCTCAAGAACAGAGCACGGATGAGCTATGGTAGTAGGCCTATATGTCCAGAATCTATCGAGAAAGTTATTTTATTTTTGAAAAGAATCGGAAAACCAAATTGTCTTTTGCAAAAGCTCATATTAATTGGAATCCGACACAGTGGAGAAATATTATGCTCCCGGCTGAATTAAAAACTCAGACATGAAAAAAATTACCGTGTGAAAGTCAGTATTTTGATGGGTACTGGAAAGCATGGAGAAGGGTCAGTAATGGTATTGGGCTGTTTTTCTTTTTATGGAAATCAATATATTTACGAGATTTTGAGAAAATGGATCGGATTGTCTACACAAATGTGTTGGAAAACGCTATGTTTCCCTTCACTAAAGAACATATACCGCTTGTTTGGGTATATCAGCTTGACAGTGGTAACAAAACATGTTTTATAATGGCCAACATTAGATTTTTTTTACACTATAGAAAAATCTTTGGAGTATCATTCATAGCAAAATCAAAAGAGTTTCACAAAAAGACATAAAGGTTCCGGATGCACAGACTGATATACCCAAGAATCAAATTGAGCATTTTATTAATCCAATGCCTCGTAGGTGTGCTGTCGTAATCAAAAATAATGTAATGTAGAAAAATTTACCTATTTAGAAGAAAAAATCAAAAAGTTGCTTCAGTTTGACCACGAAAATAATGGGTCAATTTACTTTTCCATACAATATTTCTTATTTCAACATAAATTTGGGTAAAAATTTGGTTTTGTTTTTAAAACGTGAATAAATTAGATATTTATTCCTGTAATAAACTTTGGCTATATAAAATTGAACACACATTTTCATAGTTTTAATATTTTGTATGGCCGCCATTTTTGAACTGAAGTGGTTTAAGTTAGTTACCCTGTATTACCTACAGATCCCTAAAATTCAAATTTCATATCGGCAAGTAGAACTCTAAATCAGCTGTTTCTTTCAAATTTCCTTTATACCGATTCTAAACAGAGAGAGTAATTTGTTTTGTTTCATATTCTATACAGAGAATAATAACGACAACATCAACAATCGAAAGGTTGGCTCTACGCTCATTGAAATAGTTTTTTTCTTTCACAATAAAGACCAACTATTCCAACATATTTCCGGAGTAAGCCCAAAAGTCATCATGGATTTACAACAACTGGAAGAGGAGGCACGTCAGGCCGCATTAAAAGACATTAAAAATATGCTACAACGTCCAGGGCAATTGGAAAAGGTTGAACAGTATCGTCATCGGGTGGCACGTAAAAAAGCTTCCGTTGAGGCATTGCTGAAGACCGGCATGCAAAATCAATTGGAAGGTGTACGAGTGGGTCTGAAACAGCTGAAGACATGTCTGGAGGATGTACGAGAGGTGAAGCGCAGCATTAAAGAAGTGGAAAAGCTTATGCAAGGTGTGCCCGAACTTTACGATGCCTTGGAAGACGTGCGGGAGGAGAATACCAAACATTCGCAACTGGCCACGGCTGTGGAAAATATCAAACACATTTTTAATGTGGAGACAAGTGTGCAGAAAACTATGGCCCTCATCGATGAAGACAAACTGTTGAATGCCCACCAATGTTTGGCTGATTTGGAAAGTGCTCGCGACGATTTGCTGTACGAATTGCACAAACAGCCTAAGCAGCATGCCTCCGATAAAATCACCCTTAAGAGACATTTTGAGAAAATCGACACTGTGGCCCAGGCTTTGGAGAAGAAGCTGCGACTGATATTGAGTCGAACGCTGAATACGGTACGGAAGGAACCAAAATTTATTGTTACTGCCTTGCGGATCATCGAACGAGAGGAAAAGAACGATCAATTTGCCTTACAGCAGGAGAAGGTGACATCGTTCCGACCACCTGGCCGGCCACGCCAATGGCGTGCCATGGCAATGAATGTCCTTAAGGAAGCGGTTATTACCCGTATTGAAGGCTCTCGCATGGAGGAGAGGGAGGACAATAAAATGTGGTTGGTTCGGGACTTGGAGGTGTTGCGTCAAAATATTTTGGTGGACTTGAGGGTGGTGAAATCGCTGTGTGTGCCCTGCTTTCCACCACACTATAATATCTTTGAGGAATATGTACGAATGTATCATGAGGGTTTGTCGAATTATGTAAGTGGTCGAGTTGCGAATCTGAAGATCTTGCTTTATCATGGTTTTTGTCTTTCTATAATTACAGATTGAAAATATTGCCAGTGGCCTGCAGGGCAATGAATATGTTTCCCTACTTTCGTGGGTCATCAATACCTATCCGGGTTATGAGTTGATGCGCCATCCCGAACTAAATGTCAACATCCAACAATTGGTGGGTCCCCTACTGCCACCCAGCCACCTCCGAGCACTGGAAGATGAATATCTTGGGAATATGCAAAAGAATTTCAACGAATGGATGGCCAATACAGCCGAGAAGGATCGTTCCCAATGGTTCTCGGAGCAGACACCCGATCAAGATGAACAATATTATCACAGTCCAGCTGCTGTGATTCTATTTGAAATGATCAATCAATTGTTGCAGGTTACCGAAACCATACACAGTGATCTGACATTCAAAGCATTGGTCATGAGCATACGCCAGTTGGACATCTTTGGTCAAACGTATTTGAAACATGTGGTCGATTTGAAGGATCATCATTTTCGTAATCGGGATCAAATCAAATTCTTTACCCATCACATTATAGCCATTGTAAATAATAGCCAACAGATTTTGGATTTGGCTCAACAACTGAAACAGAAATATTGGCCCAATGCACGCACCGAGCATTATGAAGACTTTGAAAAACTACTCGAAACATTCCAATTGATACGAACCCAAGCTGCAGGCTATTTGCTGGAGGAAGCTTTCCTCGACTTGGATGGCCATTTCAATGAGTTATTTACCCCAAAATGGCTAACCTCTACCATATCGGTCGACACCATATGCATAACGCTGGAAGACTATTTTCAGGATTACAATCATTTGACGCCCTGTAATTTTGAAATGGTCATCAATGAGGCCCAGAAACAATTGGCCAAACGTTACATACGTGCAATGTTGTCGAAACGTTTATCCCGTCCAACGGCCGATTGTGAAGCGATAAAAACGAAAATCAATCAAGAAGCGAAACGTTTGGAGAGATTCTTTGAAAAAATTGCCCCAAATCTGTCGTTAAATGACTCTCCATTGAAATTGATTTCAATGCTGTCGAGTCTATTAGTATGCGATCTGGAAGTCTTGCTGCTCGATTTACACACACTCTTGGGTAATTATCCCTCTTTGACAGAGGAACAAATTGTACGTCTGTTCTATATACGTAACGATGTTAAGGCGGCTGAGGTCCGTCAAAAAGTCCAAGATGCAAATCAATCGAAGAAGCCAATGGTTACCATAGATAAACAGGATTGTATATTTAAGGAAATTGTGTTCAATGATAAATTGTGGTAATTGTGCGTGGAGTAATTGATATTCCTTCCTAATAGCGTTGCACGCACACACAACGTGCATGATTGTGTTTGCGTGTTTTTAGTATTAATATTTAAATGAAGATATATAACCAATTACTATTTTATAAAATTAATAAAAAATGTTTATAAAACAAATCGCGAATGGTAAAAAATATGTCACATATAATCAGGTGAAAAACTTTAAATGGGTTAAAACTTTATGTTGGGCTGGTTTTCGGTAGGTACCATGATATAAGTTGCTATGCAAATACATGGACCAAGGACGAATTTTATCCTCTGAAGATGAGCCTTCGTAACTTCGAAGACAAAACGGATAATGTGATGCCAGTTCCGCCAGTGAATGGTCTTCATGGTAGAATGGCATTGAAAAGCCGCATTCATAAACCCCAAAGTACGATTGGAGTTCGTTGAAGAACACGAAAAAAAGGATTCTACATTTTGGAAATCTGTTATTTTCCCTGATGAATGTAAATTTAACTAGTTTGGGTCGGATGGACCAAATAAGGTATGGCGCAGGGCGAATAAAGTCGTGGACCTTAAGCACACAATACCGACCGTAACAGAGGGGTCTATGACCCGAAACGACCCAAGTCTTACTCGACCAACCTCTTTCACCTCAGCCCATTGTGTAAAAGCAATAGGGCTGCTACAACAACAACCGCAAAGCACGGAGGAGGATCTGTAATGGTATGGGAGAGCGCTGCAGGTGTAGGAAATCTCGTTTTATAAGATTTATTATTTAAACATTCTAAAAGATCATTTTATCAAGATAATGGCCTCAAATATAAGTTCCAACCTCTGGCGAAAACTGTACCTTTTTATAATTTAGGAATGTCTTTTTTTCCTCACCAGCTTGAGTTTAATTGTTTCATCTATAGGTCCAATGCTTGCTGTTTTTCGAACTTTTTGTTCATCCGGTTCCTTCTGGCCAACTTCCGCCTTTGTGCCCCCAGACAACTGGGGGGCTACACTGTATTGCGATGCGTGAGAAAAATTGTAACGCATCGCGTAATTGGTACTCTCTAATTCGTTTTCGTATCTCCTTTCGCATCTACTTTACGCAAATGTAGCATCACCGCACTCTGTAATACGAAAACGCATGTCAAACTCGTTCGTTAAGCGCAAATATCTTGCGTTAACAAAATAGCAAACGCAAAGGAAGCGAAACATAAATTATTTTAAGTAAAAGGCAAAAAAGTCACAGTTACAGGCTCAGCAACGTCAGTTCCTAACTTCAGTAGATTTTACGGGGCAACACAGTGATTTGGCAAAGGGACAGTTGCAGAGTTCAAATACGAAACAACGCGCCAACAATTTGTGGACAAAACTGTCTGATGACCTCAATTCAAATTGACCTCCTGTAAAAGATGTCGGTGGTTGGAAAAAGTAATATATTATTTTTTTTATATAAAATGTGAAACTATGTGTGCATATTTATAGGTTGGTGTTGATAACCACCTTGTCCAAGCAATTTCAAAGCAGCGGCCTCTTTTATTGGAGTTGGAATTGTTATGGATATATTTGAAACGATGAGCGTTTAAAAAATACATAAACGAATCTTTATTGAGACATTTTATATAAATCTATAAAAATTAAATATTTGAAAACATTTGTCACATAATAAATTCGTACTTATATTTTCATACCCGTGGTCACTTAGGGAGAGTATATTTGATAGATCTCATAAAATTCTTTTTTTTTAATTCGTTCATCATTTTTGTTTAAAAAAACACTCGTACCACACAAAAATATGTTTTCATTTACAATTTTTTGACGTTTCCTTTTGTCATTCTTCGTTAATGTTTACTTTGTGGCGACAGTGTTGCCCTATTTTCAATTTAGTTTGCGAATGCGTTTGCGTGAACGTTACAGAGTACCAAATTGTACTCTTAACGCATTTAGCTTTCGCATCGCACTTGCTTTCGCAACGCAATACAGAGTAACCCCCCTGCTTCTTCCTAGTTGTGAGTTTGACGATATTTTTACTCACCTCCTCTATCATCTTTTTGGCCTCTTCTCTCTTCCAGCCCTCCAAGACGATTACATTTGTCTGATTTTCATGTTCAGAAACAGGATGAGTCGCCTCCTGTCTCGGAAGGCTGGATCGAGATTGCTCTTCCCCTGCGGTTTCTCAACTCGAATTCGATGTTGCCCGATGGTTGAGTGTTTGTAGCTATACCTTCGACTACTAATGCCAAGACACCCACATCTGGATAGAAAAAAGTAAATTCTATAAAAAAAATATTTCAGATAGAAATATTTCTGGATAGAAAAAAGTAAATTCTATAAAAAAAAATATTTCAGAAAATGTATTTTGATAAAAATTTACCCTATGTCCAAAACTATGTTCTAAAATATCATTTTAAATTCGTAAAATTTAAAGGTTAACTCCAAGAAAATTTGTGGGATTTATTGTGGCGTAAAATCCGCAAACATATAATTGCTAAAATGCTGAAAAACGTCCAAATTGACCCAATCAATCTTAAAATGACTTACAGAGGAATTTAAAAGCAAATGATACCCCACAAGTTACTAAAAGTTTGCATATCATCACTTTTTTTTTGTCATATGTACGTATTTTATTTTCTGATAAAATAATTTTAAAATATGTGGATTATAAAAAACGATTAAAAATGATTATAATTTTTAAAACATAATAAAAAGTAATTACACAACCTTCAACTAATCATTGTTAAAAACACAGAACATTGGCAAAAACAACAAATATTTCTAGTACACACGGAATTTTGAAAAGTAAAATTTTAAAAATTAATTGTTAAACTTTTTTAAACGTTTTTCACATCCCAAGTCTGTGCATAACTGCATTATCGACCAAAATCGACGCAGACGCCGTCCTCATTCATTGTGTTGCACACTTTCCCCAAACTGTCTGAAAAAAACGTGCTTTCATACCATCTCTCTTTACTCTCTCTCTCCCTGAAGAGTAAATTGGGGAGAATAAGGATGGGGTAACCAAACACACGCACTACTACTGCTCAGCATAAACAACAACGGCAAAGAAAGAATTCATTGAACTGCTGCTATTGTTGTTGTTTTTGCTCCACCGAAATCCAAATGAGACAGACGACTACGCCGTTGACAGGCCATGTAGGAAATTTGATTACAGCCAAGAAATCAGTCTGTTAAGAGAGGTATTGCCGAGTGCTCTGTACAAGAAAACAAGCAAAAGAACGCGCGTGCTACGACGTGCTGAAGACGTTTGCTTCGCCAAATAGAAACAAAAAAAGATAAAAAAAATAGTTTTTTTTCCGGATTCTTTTATTTTTATTAGTGTTTTGTTGGAGTACTGCAGGAGAAAAAATAAAAGCGAAAGAAAAGCAGAATAAGAAATAAAAAGTAAGCCCACATTCTATAGCAATAAAATTTATTATTCAATTATTGTGGGTCATGTCGTGAAGTGTGAAAATTGAGAGTTTAAAGTGAAAAAATAAATAAAATAATAATACCATCAAGTGAGTGGTGGAGGTGTCTGGTAATTTAAAGAACATACATATCTGTGTAAAAAATATACCAAAAATATATTTGCAAAAAAAAGTCAAGTGCAATTGTTGAAAGTGTATAATTTGTCTTTGCACCATATTAAATTTGACATCATAATTATTAAATAGTACAATGGTCACTCTCCGTGTATATTCTAGATGTTTTTAGTCTGGCTGAGTGTCTAGAATTCACGCAATCAATAACCACATAAAACTACCGCACTTTATCTGCCGCAAACCAAAACATGCACAGACTCACACCATACGCATTGAATAAGTTCAAGTGCGTAAGAATAATATGTTTTTGTTTTGTTGTTCTTTGTCAATCATCAAAAAAAAAAAAAAAAAAAATACTAAATGAAAAAATCAATCTCAAAATCTTGTCTAAAGGACTTTGTTTTTGTTGCTGTTTCTATTACCGCCTATATTTGTGGTTACAAATAAACAAAACACACAACCACAACATGTCCAGCAACAAACCCCAAATTGAATCATACCAAAAAAGAAAACCAGTAAGGAAAGTAGTAAATTCGGACGGGGCCGACTATATGATACCCTTCACCACTTTGGATATATTCAATAGATGGATTCTAACAGACGTCTTATTTTTAAAGGACGAGTAAAAAGAAATTGGATCCATAAACATATCATTCTGCAACCTATACTAAATTGTTCATTTGTACAGATATAGAGTTGCTTCTTAAAATGGGCCAAAATTTCAATTTAAAGTAAATATCAATCGTACACCCGTTGATTATTTACATAAATATCTGATAAACATGAGGAGTTGGTGCACCATTTACTTAAAATCGGACGAAAATATATATAAAAGCAATATCACTGGTTAGGTTATACTAATTTCAGTATGTTTTGTGCATATCAGCCACATTTCGAGTTCTTGGTGCATCATTTACATAATATCGGTAGAAAATATATATGGCAGCTCTATCCAAATTTTAACCGATTTCAACAAAACTTTCCCCATGCTACTTAATACACATCATTCTAGACTCAATTCATTACGCTGTGTCAAATTTCTTGCAAATCGAAAGATATATAGGGACTTTGGTACACCATTTGCCTTAAATCGGACGAAAATATATATGAGAGCTATATCCAAATCCGAACCGATTTTCAGGAAATTTAACACACATCATTCTAGATTTTATTCAGTACGCTATGCCAAATTTCGTGCAAATCGAAAGATATATAGGGACTTTGGTATACCACTTGCCTTAAATCGGACGAAAATATATATGGGAGCTATATCCAAATCTGAACCGATTTTCACGAAACTTGACACACATCATTCTAGACCTAATTCATCACGCTGTGTCAAATTTCGTGCAAATCGAAAGATATATAGGGACTTTGATGCACTATTTAAATAAAATCGGGCGAAAATATATATGGGAGCTATATCCAAATCTGAACCGATTTTCACGAAACTTGACACACATCATTCTAGACCTAATTCATC